TTTTCATTTTGCACATGTCTAGAAGCTGGTAATACCCACTATAACAGAAATTTCACATAACTGCCTACCAGTCTCTGACATCCCATCCACAACATTTCAATGGGATTAGAATCAGGGTTTTGACTAGTCCAATCTATAACTCTCTTTTTCTTTTTGACCCATTTTTTTTTGGATTTACTAGTGTGTTTTGGAACATTATTCTGTTGAAAAATCCATTTCTGGTGCAGCTTCAACTTTCAGACATATGACCTCATGTTCTCATCAAGCATACTTTGTTATGATACAGCAGTCATAGCTAGCTCTGGGCTGCAAGCTACTCAGGTCATGAAGCAACAGAGCAACCCCAAACGAAATCATTTCTACATCTATCTTTCACAGTTGGTATGAGGTTCTTCTCAAGAAATGCTGTCTTCTGTTTGCACCAAACATATCTATTGTTACTGTGGCCAAACAACTATCTTTGATTAATCAGTACAAAAACCATTGTTCCAGAAGGCCTTGTTTTCCTACCTATATGTTCATTGGAAAATTGTAATCTTGCTCTAGTGTTGTTTTTGAACAGTAAAGGCTTTTTCTTGACATACCTCCAATCCAGGATAAATTAGTGCAATATCTTCTTGATTATAGTTTCCATCCCTTTTAACTGTAGCAAGAGTTGCCTGCAGACCCATGATTAAATTTTGGGGTTCTTGGGGACTTCTTTTAGCATCAAATGGTCAGATTTAGGGCTTAACATGCTGCATCAGTCCGGACAAATTCGTAGTTGCTTGAAGCTCATATCTCTTTTAGAATATTTTCCTCACAGCAAAATGTTTGATTTGAAATTATTTGGTAATCTTTTTATATTTGATGCCAGACTCCTAGGCATCCACAACTTCCTGAGGGTATTAAAAAGCTCTTTTGACTTTGGAATGACAGCACTACCCATGCCAATAGCAAAGAGAACACCAAACTCTAGATACATGTGGTTTCAATCAAACAGGTTCCACCTGCATACTCTCTAAGGCAGGGGTGGGCAACTGCGGCCCTCCAGCTGTTGTAGGACTACAAGTCCCATGAGGCATTGCAAAACTGACAGTTGCAAGCATGACTCCCAAATTCTGAGGCATGATGGGACCTGTAGTTCACCAACAGCTGGAGGGCCACAGTTGCCCACCCCTGCTCTAAGGTGTTCTAATAATTGGCACACATCAGGAACCTGGTTCCAATTTCATATATTTAAAGTTGTGTTAATTGTAGGGGTTTACTTTATTTTTCCATGTCACAAATCTGTATTTTTTATTAATTTAGCTTTAGAATAAAAGCTAAGTCAGTATGGTTTGTTTTTTTTTTTTTCAAGTATATCACTTTTATCTTCAAGCACGGTATGAAAGAAGATCAAATGTTTGCCTGTTGAAATATGTTTGAAGAGTCATTAATATTCTTGGGCTGTAGTTGTCGATGGCCGAAGCCTACTTGAGACTGGGAGTTCGCTCCCTAAAGGGCAAGTCCAAGACCAATAGCCTCTTAACTCTTCACACTTTGGTTACTTGTTGGAACCAACAGACACTGTAATCTTCCATTCCTCTCTTTCTTCTCCCAGGTGAATAACCTGTTACAGGTAAATTGTAGAATGTCCGTAACAACAAGTCCTTAGAGAACAGGGAAAAGTCTATATGTCCTGGCTACTGAGAACAGGCCCTTTGAAAGGAGAAACAGCAGCATCAGGAATCACATCTGTTCAGGTCCTCTGGGCAGCACCTCCCACACCAGACTCAGCTCTCCTGAGACTAACTTGCCCACTATATAGCCACTGAACCAGGCTCACACACAGGGCATGGCATGACTCAGGAACTATGCACCAGCCAAAAATTTAGCATCACGATACAAAAAAACATAACCAAAAGGCAAACACATGCACAAACCCACAAAACAGATTAGGCACAGGACTACATACTTATATTTTCAAATGACAGTAGCTGAAGCATATTGGATATAACACCCCGATCATATTGAGTGCGACTTGGCATGCAATTTGCATGCCAGGCAACTTGCAAATCGTATGCCAAGTCGCACCCTATTGTCCACTATTAGAGCAGTCATATCGGTGTAGTTCTGACTTGGTCGGAGCTGCACCGATTTCTAAAGTAGTGCATGCACTACTTTTTTGTTGTGATTTGCATAGACATCTGTGTCAGATGTCTTGCAAATCGCAATGAAATCAGATGGTCACCCGATTTTGAAATCGTGTGACTTCACTGGAAATCACATGATTTCAAAAACACTTTGATGTGAGCAGGGGCTAATGGTCAATGTCAAACCAAACATACACCGAATGACATTACAAGAGTATGTTATTTGTGTCTACAAACACAACTGATATGTTTCTCCTTAAGAGATAACTTTATTAGAGGTATGCGGGAAGGAGAGGTCTTTGTTGCCATTGAAAATAGGTCCCAGGATTATAAAAAAAAATGGTACAAACCTCTTAATTGTGCACTTTATAGTAATTATTCTCTAAACATAGAGTCCCATTTACTTTTTATTTACTCTTTATCCCATATATACAATGATATGCATCTTTATGGTACATATTATCTCCATGTTTTAGTTTTCCTAGAAACAAATTTTGTGTGTGCTTAAAATTTCAATCTTGATAGTCTAACATACAGCTACCCAATAAAAAGAGCTTATAAATCTGAACAAACAGTCCAGGAAAAACAGTCAACTGGATTACTATAATGTGTCATAAAGTCACAGAATAAGACCTATGGGGATTTTAAAAGCATGGTAATGCTGAAAGCGCTTTTAGTAGATAGCTTAGCATAGTTATTATTGTAAAATAAATGCAATAGGTTTCAATAAATATACACAATTGTTTTACGCTCAGAATAATGTATGTCTTAAATGCTATACATTAAAGTACTATAAAGGTAAAATAAGACTGTAATTTGAATTTTATGCCACTTTTCCTTTAATCTTTCTTTGCCGACACTTAGCAGTACTGTAAATGCATTTTTTCTGCTTGTTTTTTTTTTTTTAAAGTGTAGAGCACAATTTATTCTTAAATTAGCATGGCAACTGCAATTTGAACTTGAGATGGTTATCACTTACAACAAACTCTTTTCTTACAAAGAGAAGAACTGATAAAAAAAAATCACTTTTGTTTCATATTTAGTGTTTAGATTAATAATGCTGTCAATGATGCATCAGCTGGTAACACCGTCTATGTTAATTGCATTACATTGACATGGCATATATTTGCTAGAATAAGTACAAAACATTTGGTTTAATGAGCTGGAAGCTTTACATCACTTTTTTCCCAATCAAGAAAATTAAAATGTATTTTATGCATTTTATCCATGAAGAAAACAATCTGTTTAAGATATGAAATAATCATATTGTACAATACCAGTTTTAAGACGCTGAGAAGGGTAAAAGGGCATTTCGAAAACATTTTTTCAGAATATTGAATATTGTTCCAACAGCCGATTTGTAATTGGCTTTGTTTTTATTCTTAGATTTACCATAAGTGATCAAGCTAGTAGTTAGTTCCTAGCTTGATCTTTACATTCATGAACCCCAGGACAGAAATAAAAAAAAAAAAAACTGTCAGGAGTTCTAAAACTTACCCACTCCATCAAACACTTTGAAAACATGTTTTTGGCTTGACATACACATTAAAGTGTAAGTCAGTCCAAAACTGATGTTTAGCTCTTAGCTGCAAGTAGATTAAATTAAGTATTTATCTTGGGAATTTTGGCATGGAAATCTGTGGACCTTAATTCCCAGCCTCCATCTGACTGCTGTCTCCACTTATTTTACACTACCAAGAGTAACATGGAAGGAGTTAGACTCTCTCATTTAGCTTATTTTTTAGCCATGGCTAATACTAATTTATATGATTTTCCTTACAGCTGTACCACATAAAATTGGCCGAATTATTGAAGGAAGCCCTGCAGATCGCTGTGCAAAGCTGAAAGTTGGAGACCGGATTTTAGCTGTGAATAGCCAGTCTATAATCAACATGCCTCATGCAGATATTGTTAAACTGATTAAAGATGCAGGTTTAAGTGTAACACTATGCATTGTTCCTCAGGAGGGTAGGTATCAGTAGACATTAGTTACAATTTAGTATATTAAATATAAGCCCCTCTAATTTTACATTTATGTGATGGAACACCTTTGGGACAAATGTCAATACTGACATTAAACTAACAACTATAAAGCAAACTCTCTATATATTAATTATTTCCTCCATTTATATACAGTAGCACCCACAATTGATACAGGACTTTACATATTGTACTTCTACATCACTCCCTTCCTTCAAGGAATGTGCAATCTTTTCTTCTTATTTCTTACTGAACAATGTACAACATATTCGCTTAGATTCCCTTTCCTTTATTTGTCCTGTTGCAGTGTATAAAAATGATGAAGATTAAGGTTTTGCTTGCTATATACACTGCAATAATTGTGTGTGCAAGTCCAATATGGTAGCAAGTAAGGCATTAAAAATCTGCAATGTCTGAAAATGTGAAAGCATGGGCATGAAAGTCTGCTCAGTCTTGTCCATGTTAGCTTTATATACAGGTACCCCTAGTTGGATATTTTCTTCTACTAGATGGTCACACCAAGCATGTATTAATGTTCATTGTATGGCTGAAAGGAAATGCTTAACAAGTGAATATTACACTTAGACTGTTGGGAGCTACAATTTAGAAAACTAGTATAACAAAAATGTTATGAAGTGCCCAAAATGACTAGAGAGTTTAAAGTTTTGACCTGAATTTCACAGAAAGAGAGTGTTGGAAAGATATACCCATTAATGGATTGTAAACAATATTTAACATTTAAAATAGAATGAACATCATTTTTTTTTTTACTTGTTTTATCCTGTTATAAGTTTAGGAAAAAATAAATTCTGTGTTTGACACTTTTGCCTTTTACAGATTTAAAACAGCCCAGCGTCTGCACCCAGTTCAGAGAAGCAGAGTCCTATGGCCCAGCAGCACAGCCCCATGGCGCAGCAGAGTCCAGTAGCCCAGCACAGTCCAGTAGCACAGCCTCCTCCCCCCCAGCCACTGCAGTTACAAGGCCATGAAAATAGGTAACTTTTAATAGGTATAGTAGTTATTCTAACAGGCCACAAATCTTTTCAATGATGAGGTCAACCTTTTCCTGAATGCACATCATTTGCGGGGCTTATCTCTAGTCAACGTTTGACAAAGTGTTCTGATTGTGAGGAGAAAGGTTTCACATTCCCATTCATAGTTATGGTTTGTTTTGTTTGTTAGGAAATAATCATTTATTGAAAGCTCATATACAGTTTCTCTCCTCTGAACTACCCACTATCATTCTCGGAGATTTTAACATCCCTATTAATGTCAACAACCCGGCTACATCCCAACTCTTCAACTTAACCTCATCTTTTGCATTAGCACAATGTATACAGTCCTCCATTCACTCTGATGGGAATACATTAGACCTTGTTTTCTCCCATCTTTGCACTCCCTACAACCTCACAAACACCCCCTTTCCTCTCTCTGATCACAATCTCATCACCTTCACAGTGTCCTCGTCTTCAAACACCTATCCCTCCATACAGCAAACAATTACACGCAGAAACCTTCACAACTTGAACCCTGCTCCTTTCCACTCTGCAACTGACCAACTCTATGACAAAATCTTTCCCTGTCCTGCCCTGACCTGGCCACTGCTGTCCACAACAGTTCGCTTTCATCCGCATTAGACTCATTTGCTCCTCTAACAACATGAAGCATCAGGCCCCGACCGTTACAACCTTGACAGACTGACAACACCAGAAATTTTAAACAACATAGTCATGCGCTGGAGCGATTGTGGCGTAAAACCAAATCCCAGCAAGCATTCACCCTATATAAATCTGCTTTCTCAACATACAATTCCTCCCTTCATGCTGCCAAACAAGCCTACTTTGTCACTCCTATTAATACCTTGTCATCCAGTCCTCGTCGTCTCTTCTCTACTTTTAACTCTCTACTTTATCACCTCCACCTCCACCCAGTACCTCACTCACTGCTCACGAGATTGAAAATCATTTCAAAAACAAGATTGCCACAATTCGTAGGGGCATCGCCACTGCACAGAAACCCATCCCACTTAGCATACCTTATACTAAACCTCCCTCAACACTTTCCTCTTTTGACCTTACTACTACCAAAGAGGTCATTAAGGTTTTCTCAGAAGCCCGTCTCCCTACCTGCCCCCTGGATCCTGTCCCCTCACAACTACTACGGTCACCCTCTTCTTCCATCCTATGCTCCCTCACTCACATCTTCAATCTTTCACTCTCTACTGGTGCCTTCCCCTCCCCTGTAAAGCATGCACACATCACTCCCATAATTAAAAAGCCCTCCCTGGACCCCACCAACCTGAACAACTTAAGACCCATCTCCCTGCTGCCATTTACCTCTAAACTCCTAGAACACTACAGTCTACAATCACCTGAGCTCCCACCTCCTCGACAACAACCTTCTTGATCCTTTACAGTCTGGCTTTCGCTCACTACACTCCACTGAAACTGCCTCACTAAAACTCACTAATGATCTACTAACAGCTAAAACCAATGGCCACTACTCCGTAAACTTACTACTTGACCTCTCTGCGGATTTTGATACGGTTGGCCATCCCTTCCTCCTCAAAAAACTCCACTCTCTTGGTCTCAGAGACTCTGCTCTCTCCTGGTTCTCCTCCTACCTATCGTAACGCTCCTTCAGCGTTACCTAAAACGCTGCCTCCTCCTCTTCACTCCCTCTTTCTGTAGGGGTCCCTCAAGGTTCCGTCCATGGACCCCTTCTCTTCTCCATCTACACCTCCTCCCTTGGTCACTTGATAAACTCCCATGGCTTTAAGTACCATCTCTATGCTGATGACACACAAATCTATCTTTCTACCCCTCACCTCACCCCTTCAGTCTCCTCTCACATTACTAACTACTAAGCGACATATCGGCATGGATGTCACTCTTCAAACTTCCTCAAACTCAATCTTTCCAAAACTGAGCTCTTAGTATTCCCCCCAGTCCGTGCCCCCTCCCCTGACTTCTCCATCAAGATCAATAACACAATCATCATTCCCTCCCCTCATGCCTGAGTACTAGGTGTAATCCTAGACTCCATCTGTCCTTTCACCCCCAAATCCAATCACTGTCCAAATCTTGTAGACTTCACCTCCGCAACATCTCCAAGATACGCCTGTTCCTAACCTCGGAAACCACTAAGCAACTTATTCACTCCCTTGTTATATCTCGCCTTGACTATTGTAATTCCCTCCTCATTGGCCTACCTCATCGCAGGCTATCCCCTCTTCAGTCTATCATGAATGCTGCTGCCAGACTTATCCACCTTACTAACCATTCTGTATCAGCCACCCCTTTCTGCCAATCCCTCCACTGGCTTCCCATTGCCCAACGGATAAAATTCAAAACATTAACAATAACATATAAAGCCATTTATAACTCTGCCCCAAATTACATCAACGATCTTGTCTCTAAATATCACCCAAACCGTACTCTCCACTCCTTGCAAGACCTCCTGCTCTCTAGCTCCCTTGTCTGCTCCTCCCATGCTCATCTGCAGGACTTTTCCAGAGCTTTCCCCATCCTCTGGAACTCTCTACCTTAATTTATCAGATTATCGCCTACTCTGCTCACTTTTAGGCGATCTCTGAAAACTTATCTCTTCAGGGAAGCCTATCCTGCCCTCAGCTAATAATGGAATCTTCTACTCTTCCAACCAGTCCATCCCCCACAGTTACTACCTTTTGTACCACTAGGCCCTCCCTCCTAGATTGTAAGCTCCAAGGAGCAGGGCCCTCCTTTCCCTCTTGTATTGAACTGTATTGTTGCTGTATTGTCTCCCGTTATATTGTAAAGCGCTGAGCAAACTGTTGGCGCTATATAAATCCTGTATAATAACAATAGTTCCCAGTGATCCTTCCACAAAATTCTTTCCTGGGATAAATTTGGAGCATTCTACTATACTCAGATTCTACCATGAATGCTGAAAAGCCATTAAACAGTGGGCTGGATTTAATAAGAGTACAGTATTTTCACTTTTAAGGCGAATTTGCACTTTCACATTAATGTTTTTTTTCTTGCACAGAATTTGAAAGTAAATTTTGACTTAGCTTAGTGAATTTGACAAAGTTGTACTGACTTCAGTCATCCAATCCTGTGTTTTTTTTCCCTGCACATGAATGGGTATTCTTTGCACAGTAAATTTTTACTTTGTTTCATTCATTAAGATAAGTGAAAATTAATTTAGTATATTAATAAATTCACCTTGAAAGTTAAAACTCTCTACTCCTTTAGTAAATCAGGGTCAGAGTATTATATTATCCCAAGATATCACGAATGTAAGGGCCCATTCACACTGATGTATTAAAGTAATGCGCGCATTATGTGTGTATTAGTGTGTGTTCTCACAAGGTACACAGTACTGCATGCACCATTGTGCTGTGACACTGATTTTGAATGGCTTTCAAACTTACTGTTACAGTAGCATCACTACAGTATTCTACAAAGCCCATATTGTTTGTTGTAATGTGCTGCATTAAAAAAAGCAGATGTCTGATTTTCATGTGTAAAGATCACTGCCAGCTCATTCAAAATGAATGGCTTGCCTTAATTCAGCACACCTTAACACACAGTAACTTGTATTTAATGCACATGCGTTAATGCCACTCATAGTCTGAGTGGGGTTTATAGGCATTATAGGATTTTTCAATTCAAAGACCCAGTTCTAAAAATCTTCCTCAGGCTTACATATGAAGAGCCAAAAATAAATCTTCCATAAGTCAACCTACACAGTTAAAATACTTTCATATTATTCATGGCCTTGCAGAAGTCCATGTGTGACTGAAAGTATTTAATGTGACATTTCCAAGATAAATGAAAACAGCCTAATAAGCATTCCTTACTTGTAGTGACGGTGTATGTTTTATGCATTATTAGGCATTAGGCGTATGATCATTATATTTAGCATTTTAGAGCCAATGACAGTGAACATAATCACATGATGAGCACATGATGGGCAGTAATAATTGTTATGGCAAATGTATAATTATTAATTATTAGAATTTTTGATGGCAAAAAAACTGGGCCCCACATTTGTGCACCAGGTGAGACATTCTTAAAGCAATTGCATATAGTATTGCAGTCGACAACCTCATTGTGTCTTTAAGTGTATTTCTTTGTACAGTTACAGGTCAGAGGTAAAAGCCAGACAAGATGTAAAGCCAGACATTAGGCAGCCACCTTTTACAGACTACCGTCAGCCATCAACAGACTACAGGCAGCCTCCTGTAGATTATAGACACCCACCAGTACTCGATTACCAGCAACCTCCTCCTTTGGACTACAGGCAACCTCCTCTAATAGATTACCGGCAACATTCTCCTGACACTAGGCAGTATCCACTCCCTGATTACCGACAGTTCCAGGTAAGCAATTAGGTAATATATAAATGTGATTTGAAAACAATAAGACACATTCATAAGTTCACTGGCAATGTATCATTTTTATTATATGAAACTGGACTAACAATCTGCCAACTCTAGCCTTTGCCTGGAAGAGTTCTGAGTCAAAATATTTATAAGCTGGCTTTTTGTGTGAGCTCCAATGGGCTACAGCTGTTTTATTACAACAAAATTCTTATATAGCTTGAAGCAAAATAAGCCAATAATTAAAATGGCATCACAGCAAATTAGCAGAAGACTGGTCTTTTGGTTTAGGCATTCTAAAATTAAACACTTTTTCAATTAGCTTCCGAATGTTTCAGAATCATTTTCATTGGACCCCTTAGTTGCATTGTTTTGGGCTTTTGCAATCTCAGATTAAAAAGTCAAAAAACTTTAATTTTTAAGAGGTATTGTCAAATGGGACATTGTTTTAAACCCTCTATATCTTCCCTTGCTATTTGCATGCAGAAAATGTATACAGTTATGGGAAAAGGTTTGTGAAACCTGCGGGTTCTCTGTATTTCTGCATGAATGGCACTTAAAGATCTGATCTACCTCTAAGTCATAATAATCAATAAGTTATTTTTCTGTTACATTCAACACACGTTGTGTTTATTGAAGAAGTGGTTTAAGCAGAAATCATTAATGGAAAATGTTTACGACCATTCTTGAAAATGCCATTTGAAAAATGATATTTTGAACCTGGTATTTCAATCAAACCAGTTCATGGTTGGACCTGGCTTGAAAGAATCCTCAGTACTGCTATTACCTTAGAAGTGGACCTCCTCACATATTTGAGGATTTGTCCATTTGATGGCAAGTTATAATGCTGAAAATCGCTGCTCCTGTTTAAAAGAACATTTCTGCTCATTGCATTTTTGCTTAAAGTAACATAGATTTTCCACAGTGTTCTGTGGACAGAGTAGACAAAAACTTTGAACTTTTAGTAAATATACAGAGCATTATTTCTGAAAGATAAAAACACTGCATAATGGAGTGGGTCTGCATTGCTAATTTAGGCCTTGCTTCTTTGAGGATCCACTGCATTTTAACTTGTATCAAGGTTTTCTACAGCTGATTTTTGTCATGTTTTTTTTATGTAAGCTCAAAAGTAGTTGGGTCATACAACATGAAAGTGATCTGAACAAACAAGTAAATCAACAACACAGTGGCTCAAACAGAACAAATTATGTATTTAGAAATGCCACGACTATGTCCTGATGTCCGTCTCATTGAAATGCTATTATGTGATCAGCAGAATATTCAAGCAAGAAAAAATTGTTCTAAACAACAAATGAACTGAAAAATTTTGTATACAAGATTGTGTCAAAATATGTGCTGACCACTGTATATCTGATCAGCAGTTACAGGATTTGTTTGGTTAAGGTTTTTGGCAACACAGAAAATACTACTATAAATAGACTGAGTTTGCATATTTTTTTCATCATTTTCCTTGAATATTTAAACTTTTTTTTTTTTGGTAAATTTATAACAAAGTAAACTATGTGAATTTGTTAAATAAGATTTTGTAGATGTACACAAAGATGACGATCAGATTACCTTTTAGAAGCCATTTCTGCAGAAATCCATAACAATGTTTCCCATTTGTTTTATTACAGCTCTGTGATATGGAACTTTGGGTAGGTACAGTTGATGATGAAAGTTATGATACCAAAGCTTTAAGGCTACCATGGGTAAAAAGTGATAAATCTAACTAACAGACTAGGTCTGGAGGTTCTTCTTAAGATCTACTTTATTTTTCTCTAAATTTACAGTGCACATGTAATTGGTCCAACAACATGTGCATTAGGCCATTAATACTATTAATATTACTATTAGTATTGTTGTTATTAATATTACTATTATTATTAATATTGCATTTGTGGGGGGGTAACAAGCCCTTAGATGTGCATACCATCTAATTTAGTAAAAACAAATTCTGCTTTAATACTTTCATTTTTTTATTCTCAGTTTTCACCTTTTTGTTGATGAGATTTACTGATGATAGTTTTTTCATCACTTTGCTGAAATTTCATAGAATGTAAACAATGTTTAACAATCCAGGGCATGATCAAAACTGGGATGAGTACTGACTGCATGCTGGGCATTCTGAGTAAATCACAGTAAGCATTAACCTATAACATATCTGGACTGCATATTGCAGGATTATGACTATTTCACGGTAGAAATGGAGAAGGGAGCTAAAGGATTCGGCTTCAGCATACGTGGAGGCAGAGAATACAAGATGGACTTGTATGTGCTCAGACTAGCAGAGGATGGCCCTGCAATACGAAATGGGAGGATGAGGGTAAGTTCATTTAAGTAGACTCATTTAAGAAAATGTAAACATTGTTATTATTATGTTATGTATATATGTAATGACAGCGACAAGGCATAGGGAATAGGCTATGTTTTTAAAGTGTTACTAAACCCAGGACCCCGCATTAACTATATCTGGTCTCCCATAGTAAATAAAAGATGGAAATGCAATTATTTTAGTAAATATAAACTGCAAAATACCTTATCTCATCAGCAGTTAGAGCAGTCATGTGACTTCTATCAGTGTCCAGAAGAACATTAGTTAAAGCTTGTAGGAGAAGTTTTCATTCTCCCCTGACTGTCCTTTTGAGGCTGCATTATTCCTGATTCTCTTTCTGGACAGTTCTGATTGGCCCTGTGTTGGTCACATGCACTCTCCCAAGAAAAAAAACCTCGCTAGCAATACACACCAAACTGAGCATGTGCAGCTTGCCCCAAAGCTCTGTTCTATCAGCAGATGGACTGGGGACATTAGAAGAAGGGGAGGATCAGAGAAGACAGGATCAAACAGCCTTTGTACACAATGCGGAGGATTAACCTCTTAGGTTCCGCAGTAAGTATAACAAGCATGCTTTACTGCATATACAGACTGATTTTACTGTTGTGGGTTTAGTAACACTTTAATTATGTAAAGTTATATTTAGTTCAATTATATTAAAAAGCATGCGTTCTAAAGTACAACTATCCTTCACTGGATTCCCACTTCTTCTTTTTTTTTGCTAAAAAAATCACTTAGAACCCCCAAATATATATTTTTAAGCAGAATCCCTAGAAAATAAAATTATGGGTGTTACCATTTATGTCACACAATATTTGTGCAGTGGTTTTTCAAACTCCAATTTAAAAAAATAAAATACACTTTAATGAATTTTAGTAAATATAAACACAATATAATACCCCATTTTTGGTAAAATGTAAACGATGATGTTACACTGAGTAAATAGCTACCAAACATGTCACTCTTTAAAATTGTGCACGCCAGTGACAAACTATGATACATTAAATTATCCTTAGGCAATGCTTTAAAAACCTTTACAGAGTTTCCAATTTACAGTTACAAAGGAGGGCTGGCAGTAGAATTATTGCTCTTACTCTGAAATTCACGGTGATACCTCACATTTGTGGTGCGATCACCTTTTACATATGTGTGTGGGACCTACCTGCGTGAAACCCTTTGGGAATGGGGGCTCATTCAAAATTTTTATTAACAGTAATCAACTCATCCCTTGATTAATGTTGTTCATCCCTTGTGATAGCATGGATTGTGACAAGTACTCTTATGGAGAGATCTGGGATCTATTAGACCCCAGATCTCCCCTCTGGCCTCCATTGCATCTGATCAAACTGAGATCAATTTGATCAGATGCTATACAAACTGGTAACGGCTTGTCAATAAACAACCCGAAGCAGAAACTGACAAGATCCTCATCGCTGCTGGTTTCTGACCTCACAGAAGAGATGCGTGAACATCTGTTTCTGCCACCTTTCTCAGTGAATGCGACGGAACCAGTCACATCGTTACTGGGCTCTCCGATGGGAGCCCTTTAAAGACAGCAGCAGAAGTGGGAGAACCCCATTCCTCCACCTGTAAAAGTGATCCAGCAGCTGTATTGCTGCTTGGATCACTTTCACATGAATAATATATATATATACACTGCTCCAAAAAAATTAAAGGAACACTTTTTAATCAGAGTATAGCATCAAGTCAATTAAACTCCTGGGATATTGATCTGGTCAGTTAAGTAGCAGTGGGGTTGCTAATCAGTTTCAGCTGCTTTGATATTAATGAAATTAACAACAGGTGCACTAGATCAGCGACAATGAGTCAGCCCCCAAAACAGGTATGGTTTTACAGGTGCAGGCCACTAACATTTTTTTCCCTACTCATTTTTTCTGACTGTTTTTCACTAGTTTTGCATTTGACTAGGGTCAATGTTACTACTGGTAGCATGAGATGATACCTGGACCCTACAGATGTTGCACATTTAGTCCAACTCCTCCAGGATGGCACATCAATATGTGCCATTGCCAGAAGGTTTGCTGTGTCTCTCAGCACAGTCTCAAGAGCATGGAGGAGATTCCAGGAGACAGGCAGTTACTCTAGGAGAGCAAGACAGGGCTGTAGAAGGTCCTAAACCAGCAGCAGGACTGGTATCTGCAAGGAAGAACAGGAGGAGAACTGCCAGAGCCCTACAAAATGACCTTTAGCAGGCCACTGGTGTGAATATCTCTGACCAAACAATCAGAAACAGACTTCATGAGGGTGGCCTGAGGGCCCGATGTCCTCTAGTGGGCCCTGTGCTCACTGCCCGGCTCCATAGAGCTTTATTGGCATTTGCCATTGAATACCAGAATTGGCAGGTTCGCCACTGGCGCCCTATGCTTTTCCAAGATGAGCTCAGGTTCACCCTGAGCACATATGACAGATGTGAAAGGGTCTGGAGAAGCCGTGGAGAACGTTATGCTGCCTGTAACATCGTTCAGCATGACCGTTTTGGTGGTGGGTCAGTGATGGTCTGGGGAGGCATATCCATAGATGAACACACAGACCTCTACAGGCTAGACAATGGCACCCTGACTGCCATTTGGTATCGGGATGAAATCCTTGGACCCATTGCCAGACCCTACACTGGTGCAGTGGGTCCTGGGTCCCACTGGTGCACGACAATGCCTGGCCTCATGTGGCAAGAGTATGCGGGCAGCTTCTGGAGGATGAAGGAATTGATGCCATTAAATTGCCCCCACTCTCGCCTGACCTAAATCCAACAGAACACCTCTGGGATATCATGTTTCGGTCCATCCAACGCTGCCAGGTTGCACCTCAGACAGTCCAGGTGCTCAGTGATGCCCTGGTCTAGATCTGGGAGGAGATACCCCAAGACACCATGCGTTGTCTCATTAGGAGCATTCCCTGACATTGTCAGGCATGCATACAAGCACATGGGGGCCATTCAAACTACTGGGTGCTATTTTGACTTGCTACAATTAAATTTGAGCAAAATGGACTAGAATCATTTTTCACTTACATTTTTGGGGTATCTTTGAATTCAGTCCTTTGTAGGTTGATCATTTTCATTTCCATAAATTGATTGTGCATCCTTACGCCCCTAACACGTTACCCAGTCCATATCAGTATACAATTCAAGCATGATATTGTTCTCAATTGAGATCTGATGTGTTTTCATAGTGTTCCTTTAATTTTTTGAGAGAGAGAGTGAGTTACCCAAAATCGTAATGAAGGTTGTATTTTCATATGGTTTTCATGTATGCTTTGAATATGTTTTAATATAATACATTTTATGCTTCTTCATATGGTAGCAGAAGCATAACATCTGTGTGTGATTGCAACACCTGTATTTAGATTTTTATATTTTTTTTTGCCTCTTTTGCCAAGATGAAAAATTGTTATGAAGGATTTGAAAAGCAGAGAAGGCGTGGCATTGCGTGCAGCATGAGTGTTGAGCCAGGCTGTAATGACATTGATTGTGCTGAACAAAGACTTTTTAGCTCAGGAATTTGGGAAGAACTGCAGTTCTTCCAGTCAGGGTTGTGATATCTGTAACCCTTGTTTCAATATCATATATTCTTTGTACTTAAAAAGTAATACTTCAGCACAAGAAAGAGGAAATTAAACTCCAAAAGGGAAGTTGACAAAGATGAACTGAATTGTACAGATCCTCCAGCAACAAAATGGGTCAATAAAATTTCAACCAGAGCTCGAAAAAATTCATAGGCATAATTGTAGTAAATTAGAGGACTACAAGAAAGAAGCAGCAGGACTGATGACTCAATTGCTTAATGAGAGAGGCTATACAAAGGAAAGTGTGAAAGTGGAAGAAGAGCAGGTAGGACGTCAACCCAGGGAAGGCTTCTTACAAGAAATTAGCAGCAGGAAGGAGAATGATGCAGAAAAAAAGTTTGATTTAGCAGTTGTACTGAACTATACCACCCAGGTCTCTATTGAGAGACAGATGATCAACAAACATTGGGATTTACTAACAGAAGTCAAGATACTTTCCTCTAAACTCCCACAAAAACCCTGATTTATATTTTAGAAAGCCAGGTCTCTAGGATTACAAATATCACCCACTGTTCAAATGAAAAGAACATCAGACAGTTACTTAACCAAAATAATTAAAAGGTTTTATAATGCTTAAAAAAATAAGAAAAAAAACACTACTAATATGAAAAAGTATGAAAGTTTATCCCCCCCCCCCCCCCCAAGATTCAGAAATATTATAACATTAATCCCCCAAGGCTCTGTCCTTGGGCCCCTTCTCTTCTCCATCTACACCTCCTCCCTCGGCAAACTGATACACTCCCATGGCTTCAACTATCTACGCCGATGACACGCAAATTTACCTCTCCACCCCTCACCTCACCCCTTCAGTCTCCACCCGTATCACCCACCTGCTGAACGACATATCAGACTGGATGTCACTCCATTTCCTCAAACTGAACCTTTCCAAAACCAAGCTCCTAATCTTCCCCCGCGCCCCCCCCCCCCCTCCTCTCCATCATGTCCAACAACGCCACCATCAGTCCCACCCCGCAAGCCGAAGTCCTAGGTGTCACTCTAGACTCAAACCTGTCCTTCCAGCCCCGTGTCCAATCGTTGGCAAACACATGCAGACTCCACCTCCGCAACATCTCCAAAATACGTACGTTCCTAACCCCAGACACTACTAAACAACCCGTTCACTCCCTCATTATTTCACGTTTGGACTACTGCAACTCCCTTCTCACCGACCTACCTCATCACAGACTATCCCCGCTTCAGTCTATCCTGAACTCAGCGGCCAGACTCATCCACCTTACCAACCGCTCCGTATCTGCCACCCCCCTCTGTCATTCCCTCCACTGGCTCCCGATTGCCCAACGCATTAAATTTAAACTACTAACACTGACAAACAAAGCCATTCACAACGCTGCCCCAAACTACCTCACCAACCTGATACCCAAATACCACCCAACCCGTACTCTTCGCTCCTCACAAGACCTCCTACTT